AACCAAATAACCAAAATTAAATCATTAAGCTTAGAGGTTATCCATTCCTTTTTCATGTGTGGCTAGAGCATCTTGAATATCATCACTTTTATCACCATTGCTCACACACACTTACAAGAGACATTTATTTCAATTTTGGTATCCAAATTGCTTTGGATCCTTCAACGTTAGTTTCAATGCCTCTTGTTCCTTTCGGAATCCATACTTATCTAATTTTAAAACATTTTCTTTTCTTCAAAGGACAAGTATGTTCCTTGTGACCATGATAATGACAATGTGAGCATATTGTCATTATTGAACTAAATGAATTATTTAAAACGATTTCTTTTTCTTTTGTTAAGCATTCAAGCTTAACTTTTAAATCAAAATTTTCTTTTTCAAAACTTTCAATTTTTATTTTTGAAAGCTCTAAATCCTTTTTCAAAATTTCATTTTGGCTTTCAAAATCTATTTTTGTTTTCAAAAGAAAATCGTTTTTGATTTTAAATTTTGAAATCATTTCTTATATTTGGAGTTCATGGTCTCAAACTCTGAATATAACCTATTAAAATCATCTTGTAACTCATCAAACGTATATGAATTAAATTCATTTGAGTTAAAAGATACATCGGGCTCTTCACGAGCCATTAGAGACACCACCTTTGTTGGTTCTTCTTTCTTGTTTCCATGGATTTCCTCGACCTTATTCCAAAGCTCCTTGGCACTTGAACATGAAGAAACCCCTTCATAGATTTCATGACCAAATGCACAAAACAGCATGTGCATGGCCTTGGCATTAAGTTGAGCTTTCTTCCGTTCTTTGTCACTCATCTTCTTCTCCTTCTTCTTTGGAGAAGAGTAGCCGTTCTCGATTATCTCCCATGCATCAAGATCATTGGATTGGATGAATACCTTTATTAATTTCTTCCAATAACGATAGTTGACTCCATTGAAGTATGGAGGCTTGTCCATTGGTAGGGAGTCTTCCATATGAAACGAGCCGGAGGTGGAAGCCATCTTCTCGGTTTTGTCGGGAATTGATAGAGCTTCTTCGAGGATCGTCTCAAGGTGGTTAAACCTTCTTAATGAGTTAGGCTCTGATGCCAATTGTTGGGATTTTCGGAAGCTCGATTCGACAATCGGAACGGTTTGCAAAGAGGGTCAGAACGGTTTTTGAGTTTAGGGAGTAAGGAGATTGAAAGATAGAAAATTGCACAGCGATTTAGAGTGGTTTGACTTTCTAAACCAAAGTCTACGTCCACTACCTTAGCTCCTCACCAAGGATTTTCCAACAAATTCACTAATTTGTTCTTTCTTTTGAGAACAAAGAGATAACCTTACAACTTCCTAGTTTTTCCGGGCTAAACTAGAACCTTTCCCTAGCTTTTACACGGGATAAGCTAGAACCTTTCCCCTTTACAAAAGAATAAAATAAGTAAACAAGAAATCCTCTCTAAGGTAGGTGTTTACAAGATTGAGCTCACAAGAACAAAATATTTACAAGAGAAAGATGAAATAAGAATGAAAAACTCTTCTCTTATGTTTGATTGCTTGGATAGTTGTTCTCTTACTTCCTCAAGTGTCCTTAGCTTGTATTTATAGCTTGTAATGTGTTTGATGTTGTATATAGCCGTTGGGGATGTTTTGGAGCCATTTGGGGATGATTTTTCTACTAAAAAAGGCTGCCCATAACATGATGCATCGATGCACTATCAAGGTGCATAGATACCCCTTCATTAAATTCAAATAAACTAGCCATTGCAGCCTTGATGCATGGATCCATGGCAGGATGCATCGATGCATGTATGGATGCATGGCAGGATGCATCGATGCACTAAGTGCATTCAATGTTTGAGTGCATGGATGCATTGCATGATGCTTCGCTGCATTAGTGCAGGTGCATGGATGCACTACAGGGATGCATGGATGCTCTTTGACACCTTTTAGCATTTTGACTCAAATCTGATTTTAATGGACTTTGAATTATTTTTGAAACCTTTTAAAACTTTGAATAAATTCAATTAAGTCCAAAAATATTTTATAAATTCAATTCAAGTCCAAAAACATTTTGCCTTAAATTGTTGTATCAAAACATAGTTCAACACTTTGTCTCATTTATTGATGACTACTCCAGGAGATGTTGGGTGTATCCTATTAAGAAGAAGCAATTTGGTTGAAGATGCTATTGGAGGAGCTTGGGCACAATCAAGAGTATGTCTCTCTGTTTTGTGACAGTCAAAGCGTCTTGCATCTAGCAAGGAATCCAGCATTTCATTAAAGGATAAAGCACATACGAGTTCAGTACCATTTTATTCGTGAAAAGGTAGAAGAAGGGATAATAGATATGCAGAATATACATACCAAAGACAACATAGCAGATTTCATGACGAAGGCAGTAAATGTTGATATATTTACTCGGTGTCGATCCTTTTGTGGCCTATCAGAAATGTAAGCAACATGAAGGTACAAGGTAGAAAGAATGGTGTGAAGATATGATTGTTCTAATCAAATCTTCAAGTGGAAGATTATTGACTATTCACCGAAAGGTGCAATGGATTTTTCAAAAAATCAGCCTGATATTGTTGAATTTTGTAAATGGTAAAAATACTAATTTAGTCATTATACTTTAGGGTATTTATAAGATTAGTCCTTAAGCTTCAACTATAAATACCCTAGCTCATTTAGCTTCAAAAACCATCTCAAATCATTCTAGATTTCTTTCAATACTGAGTATTTAGAGAGTTTCTTGAGAGTTGTTTGCTCTTTTTTATCAAGAGAGAATTATCATTGTTTTCTCCTTGGTAGATCGAGAGAAGTTGTAATTCTTATTTTCTCATAGTGAAATTCTTCTACTGTTGCCCGTGGTTTTTTACCCTATATTATTTAAGGTTTCCACGTAAATTTTATGTCTCTTTTATCTTCATTTTTATTTTCTCAAATTATCAGTTACGATTTTACTCTATCTGATAATCGTCTTCGGCAATAAAAGTTAATATGAAATCTTCTTTTTACCCTATCCACGTAATCTCTTTTAACAATTTATATTATATATTTGAAAATTTCAATTTCCACTAAGATGGTTTTAATTAAACCCGGAGACAGATCAAGATGATTCGAGGTAGAGCTCATAGGTTCAATGTGGGCGGTCAGCTGATGATCTAGAAAGTAAGAAGCTCAAGTTGACCATGAGCCCACCAAGGCGGATTTCGTAGGCATTTTACTTTGACCCACTACTTTCTAATCACTACGCCCCTTCTAGAAAGCATGCCAATTTTATCAAATCGGTATGTGTATACTTAAAATTGAATGTACAACAAATCAACCCAATGTAAATATTTAAGCAATGATGAAATTTAATTTAAAAAATAAAAAATGATTTTTATTATTATAATGATAAAATTAAATTATGACGCTGCACATATGTGCTGCCTTCAGCCCTTTCACCTCGTCAGAAGGTCCAAAATTAAATTTTAAAATTCAAATACTTGTGTTAAATGCACCGAACAAGGCGAAAAAAGTTCCAACTTCTACCATGCAAGAGTTATATGCGAAGTTGGAACTAGAAGGCCGAAAATTGTTAATGGTTGGTGATATTATACTACCCTTTATAACTTGAGTCATTTATTACAAAAGATATTGTCCACAAAACTTAAACTCCACGAAAAGCTGCTAAATTTATTTAGTTTTTTATTTTATTTTTTAATTTGCAAGGTGTCTTTGACTGTTAGACAATCCAGTCACGACCACCATCACAATACCTACTTTATAAGTGTACTATAATGTCTAGAGAATCTCAAGGACAAAATTTGCATGTGATGATCACATGATCCTAAACGGTCGGTTCCACCATTCCCTCCTCATTTCTATCTGCTTATATCAAGATTTTTTTTCAGAGAATCTTCATAAACCTTAATTTTATCATTTTATTCATTTTTAACTTTTATATTTTTGCACTAACTAACTTAACTCAATGGTTAAAGAAATCGTTATTGTTCCTAAAAGTCATGAGTTCGAGCACCAGCAGATGCAACAAGGTGATTAAACGTTCATTGTCAAATTATTGAGTGTATTTAAAACATGTATTACTTTGTAATCACCTTAGTTTAATAAAAAAGTCTTACATTTCTTTATTTTATTTTAAATGTTTATCTTTATAAACTAAATTAAAATGTAACTGAACAATAACGAAATTAAAGTAAATAAGAATTGGGTCCTTTAATAAAAATACTTTAAATCTTAATACAAACAAAAAAGATATACTTTAAAAATCAAATCAAACATTTAACATAAAAGTATTATTAATTTAAATATTTTATTGTATAGTACTTTTGTTTGCACTATAATGAATGTGGGCGCTCCGACCTTCAATTTGTTTATTTAATAATATTTTGAATCTCTAACAGTTTAGTTATTATTAGATTAAATTTTAATTATCTTTTAATTTTTAAATTTAAATATTAATTAAACCTTTTTCAGATTTAAAATTAGTCAATTTAATTTCTCAATATTCAATCTAATCTTAACCTACTTTTATCATAAGTAAAATAATGATAGCTTATTGGCTAAGTAAATAATCAAATAAACATTGTAAATGAAGACAATTAACAAGATCCTCAGCAAAGATATAAAATCGAGATTTTTGTTTTTACACCCTTTTGTTCTTCAAATTGTATCGAGGTCAAACGAATCTAAAACATATTAAGAAACAAAATGCTTTCTATTAGCATAAGTTTTATTCAAAATCACATACAATATCATATTAATAAAATTAAAATTGTGAAACAAATATTTTTTTTAAAATTTAAGCTTATCACTGTTAAATAATATAACTATAATCCATATTTTTTTTTATATTACACAAATTTATAATATAAAAATTAAATTTATATATTAAAATTTAAAATTTTAACACTTATTAAATATATTAATAAAAGTTCCTAGTGGAAATACTCTAGATATCGGTATTTCCGTTAACAAGGCACATTGTAGAGCAGAAAAATCATGTATTTGTATTATATTCATGTTAATCTATTGACCGCTAACGCTAAGGGTGTCATTTTCCTGTCAAAACATTCAACTTCCATTGCCGTCTCTTAATTTAAGCTCTCTAATTCTCCTCTTTCTTCCTCATAACTTTCTTGGCCTTTTTTTCTCTGTACATAATCTCTGGTTGTGTTTCTTTTCTAACCCGCCAAGCAAAGAGTTGAAGAAGAAATAAGAGATGCGGGTTTTAAAGGAAGAGAAATCAAGAAGAATACTGAGAGGTGTTAAAACCGTGTTTTTCTTGTTAACAATGGCGTTTTCTTTTCTCGTGTTTTCCGCTCCAGTTTTTCTTGTTATTGCCGATACTCTTTTGCCTTCTGCTCTGTTTTCTGCTTCCCTCTCTCCTTTATCATTCGAAACCCTCTCATCGTATTTCGATAACTATAACTTTCGATACTCTCTCATAGATATCCCCCTCATTTCTGTCATCAGATCAGCTATTATAATCTGTAAGTACATGATAAAAACAGAGCAAATACTATGATGTTTCACTCGTTTTTTTCCAGGCAAGATTTCTGTAAGTTACGTTTTATTGATTGTTTTTTTTTCCTTTTTGCAGGCGTTTACAGTTTTTGTGATGGGCCGAGGCTTTCAAGGGGACCTTACTTTGGAATCACAACGATTTGTTCAGTTTCGTCTCTGATTTTTGTTTCACTGAAAGCTTCATTTGTGTTCAGTTCGAGTACAGGGAAAGCGCATGTTCCGGCCATGGAAATTGCTCTTTTCATTTGTTCAATGGCGATGGCGATTGGGCATATAATCGTGGCATATAGAACAAGTTGCAGAGAAAGAAGGAAACTCCTGGTCTACAAGATTGACATTGAAGCTGTAAGTTTCTCTCTCATTCAACAACATTAAAGAGTTTCAGATTAAATTAATCTCATTAATTATAAGATAATTAGTCTACCAACTTGTACCAAAACAGTAGAAAGTTTGAATTTTGCTTTCAGAAAGTCAAACTTATATATATATATATATTTGATGAATCATTTCACATGGCAATGCCATTGGCAAACGTGCCCACTTCTTCCTATGTTTACTTACGAGAAATTGGTTGTGTTTGAATCCCTTCACATGGTTTCCCCCCCTGAATTTTGAAAGCATAAGCTATTTTATTCTCAATTGACATGCAATGAAAGTAGATTATTTGGGGGTAAAGCAAATCAGGAACTTTCTTATTTTCCCCCAAAATTAAACGATAGAGTTCCAATTGTTCAACCTCCTCCAGAGGTATTCGAGGCAGGTACGACAGAATGGAAGTCCGCACTAGTTGGGCAGTTTCTTGGGTCAACCCCCAATTTCCTCTCTCTGCAACGAGTTATTGATAATCTCTGGAATCAGGCTTCGAAGGGGTTTTCTGTTCAGGTCAGTCTTGATGGGAACAATTTATATATATTTTCTTTCAACTCTGATTCTGCTAGGGATTGGGTCCTTGAAAACGAACCATGGCATATTCTTAATAAGCCATCAATCCTCATAAAATGAGAGCCTAATCTACAAAGGCTTAACTTTGATTTATCTTGTCTTCCTCTTTGGATTCATCTGTTCAATGTTCCACTCGAATTATTTAATAGGGAAGGTCTTAGTTATATTGCTAGTGCTCTTGGAGTCCCCATTTCCATGGACTCTGTTACTGCTTCAAAAACTAGATTAGAATTTGCTAAGGTTTGTATTGAAGTAGGTGCTAAGGAGGTAATTCCAAAAATTATTGAAGTGGTTATGGCTAATGGTCAAACCACTAACATCTTTGTCGAAGTTCCATGGTATCCTTATTGCTGTAGAAGGTGTGATTCTTTTGGTCATACTGATAAAAACTGCTCTATTAACTCCTCTACTGCTCCTTCCTCTAATAAAGTTTGGAGGAAGAAATCTGTCATGATTGCTAACCAAGGGACTAACTCTTCTGAAGGAACAGAATCCTTACAGGAACCAGAGTCAGACCCTTCTCCTCCTAAGGAAAAGTCTGAACTTACTCGGAATTCCAATCCTTCTCCAAAGGTTTCAGATTCTGAGTTACCAATCAAATTCCTTCTCCAGTACAAATTGTTTCATCTTCTAAGAGTGACCCAAATAACTTTTCTGGTGAAGAATCTTATGTCATTCCTTATCTCTCCTAATCTAGTGGAATCTATTAGAGGGGTAACTACAACTCTTGACATCTCTTCCAATGCTAAGTGAAGACACTAAATTTCATCAGATTTAAATAATGTTATTTCATATAATAATTTCTAACCACATTACATAATATACACACTTAAATTCTTTTTTTTTTTACACAGGCCCTTTACAAATAAAATGATAACAAACGGCCCAAATACAAGTGACCCAGATCCAACGCCTCAGCAGCCCAAGGCACGTGACCAATAGGCTAGGGTTTCCAGAAACCCTAGCGCCGTTCTCCCCTTCAACTCCCCATGGCTGCACGTTTCTTCTCTCCAACGGATCCGAGTTCTCCGGCGCAAGACTCTCGGCCACCAAACGAACGCCAATGAACGTGTTTTCACAAAAACAACCAAGTCAGAATCGTGGATTATCACCACAAACAAATCGAGTTTTACTCAGATTAAAACTCTAAAAATAGCCTAGGATTATCACTATAAAGTCATGTAATTAGAAGCTTTTAAAAGAAAAAAAAAGGAGACACACAAAAATACTGGAAATCACAAGAGCACACACAGGAAATTACTCAGCAAAAAAAACGAGCCTTGTAAACGTTTCAAGAAGAAATAAAAAGGTGAAAGTTTATACCTTTCTTACTTCTTTCCCTTGCATGCGTTATGTCCTTGTCGTTTTTCTCAAAAAAAAAACAGAAGATTTGGGGCCGATGAACACACGGGAACCGTGATATTCTCTCTTAGATCTACGGTTCCCCGAGGCTTGGTTGGAAAAAATACTTTGGTTTTTAAAACGTGCGGGCGAAGAGCTTTCAAAAAACCAGTTTTTTTTAGTTGGTTGCCGCCGATGACCGGCGGCCGTCGCCGATCAACGGCGGTGGCAAGGCGGCGAGAGGAGGCCAGGGCGGCCGATTTCTGGAATACATAGCCTTGTTCTTCGTTTTGAAGAACAAGGCAGAGGAAACGAAAGAGAGAAAGAAGTTCTCTCGTTTGGTGAAGAGAGAAATGAGCGAGATTAAATTTTTTTTAACTTTTATAGCGGCTCTTGACCCGCGCCTGGACCCGACCCGGTTTTGATGGACCCGCGTGTTTTTGCAAGAAGCGAGAGATTTGCGTTTTGGTTCTCCAGTTTCAAAAACCTTTAATTTGGTCCTCTGAATCGATTATTGAACCCGAAATCCTTGTAAATTGACCCTTGAGTTTATTTCGTTTTCAATTTAGTCCTACTATTATTATATACTATATTTTCATTATTATATTTTCCTTTATTTATATATATATATATTTTATGTATATTTTTTATTTTATTTTATTATACATATATATATACACATAATCATCGTTATTTTATTATTTTAAGTATTATTGATAGCGTATATAAACATATTTTTTTTTTTTTATTATCTGTATATTTATTTCTATTCATTTGTTTTATTTAATAATATATTTGATATTTATATATTTTTCGTGTTTTTTTACATCATTATCGTTTTCATTTTATTCTACTTTATATTTTTTATTTTATTTTCATTATTCCTTTTTTTATATGTACATATTTGATTATAGTTATTTATTTATTTTAGTTTGTAGTTTATTTATTATTACTATTATATATATCTTTTTATTTTTCCCATTGTTTATATCTTTATTATTATTACCATCATATATATTATTTTTATATTCTATATTTTCCTCATCTTATTTGTTTTCCATTTTACCTTAGGTGTTTTATTTGCATTCTTTATCTAATATATGTCTTGATCTTTTAAGGGTACAATTTAAGCAATCTAAGGTAAGTAATTTGGATCGTCATTTTACATTTTAATTTAAATTTACAACTTTCTTAATTAAAGACAACTGGAAATTACGTAGTACCGAAAGGGCAGTTCAAGGGTGCTAATCCTTCCTTAGCTGTAACCGACTCCCGAATCCGACATATCCTTGGTAAGACGCAGATCAGGTAAGATATAAGGTATCCGATTAACCTATTTATTTTTAACTAAATAATCGGTGGCGACTCCAATCCATTTTTCAAGTCGAAGCCCAATTCCGGGGCTCAACCGAAAGACGGTTGCGACAGCTTGGCGACTCCGCTGGGGACACAGGTAAGTGAGTCAGGCTAAGGTAATTTCCAGTTGTCTTTTCAACGAAAAGGGTAAGTTTAAATTTTAAGGTAACATTTCGATCCTTATTGCTTACTTTTGATTATATTTTTTCGCGTAAATAGTTGTACTAATCGTTTTCTCAATGATTTCAACCCTTAAAGTATTTTTTCATCTAAGGCTCTAAACCCGAGCTCCAAACCCGTTTTAAGTGGGGGTGAAAGCGACGCATTCGTGTGAATTTATTCACCGCATATGCCTAGCAAGTAGCCTTCGGGATTCATATACCTTATGTCTTCGTGTGAATTTATTCTCCGCATAGACATAAGGGAATGTGTCCCCTCGAGTTTAACTTAGTCCACACAAGCCTGTGATGGGTTTAGGACTAAGGGTCTGGTAAGCCCAAGGGGGCACCAGCAAGGAGAACTCGGGTACCGTTTTTAGAACCTAAACCAGGAGACTTCGAAGAAATAGAGCCTACCCCAAAACCACATTCCAAAACCTAGGACAATTCTTTCCTAACCATTTGTTTTTCCTTATGTTTTTATTACCATTTATTTCTTGTTATTTTTATTTATTTCCATTTATTTTTATTTTACTAACCGTTTGCCTTTGTGTTTGTTTTTAGCATTTGCATCATAACAAAAGGCCATTGATCCCTAAAAAGACGTTCATTACGTACAAAATAATCTGAATTAATGGATAAAGGTGTTGTAATACAAGAGATTAAAAACCCTGAGGTACGACTATGGTCCGAGAAGACTCAGAAGGAAAAGGGAGACAGTCTTCAAGACAGCTATGTGTCAGATCTGGTTAGCTACGCCTCAATCAGCCTAAAGCAGAATGCATACAAGAGCTCCGGGACATCTGGGACAGTTGGAAGAATGAGGTGAAACAGAAGTTCAGCCAACGGTACGGTGATGTTGCACTTCTGCTTCATGTTAAGATTGATGAGCCCTTAATTAGAGCCATGGTTCAATTTTGGAACCCGGGATACAGTTGCTTCACCTTTAACCGGGAAGACATGGTGCCCACCATAGAAGAATACACTACATTGCTGCATTGTGAAAACATCAAACTCGAGCGGGCCTACCTTAAGCACATTAAAAGTCAACCTTTCAAAAATGCATTAGCTAAGGTTGCCGGAGTTGATGAAAAATGGGTAACTGACCGAGCTCGATGTAAGGGTAGTGGAGAAGGAATCGCTTGGCTTCATATCAAACAACTAATGAAGCACCATCCCGATGAGTGGAAGACAATAGACCTGTTTGCATTAGGTCTGTATGGTCTAATTTTATTCCCAAAGACCTTGGGATACATCGATGCCACCGTAGTGGAGCTATTCGAACAACTCTCGAGAAGAGTCAATCCAGCACCTGCCATCTTGGCTGAGACCTTTCGATCTCTCAATCATTGCCGAAGAACTGGCGGAGGAAGATTCACCGGGTGCATTCAGCTCCTTCAAGTCTGGATTCACAACCACTTCTGGAAGACTGACGGGGTTGCCTACCGCCGTTTCAGCACCACCTATTCACCTCTAGGTGAATTTATTACCTTAAAATGGCATGAAGGCGCTTCGAAAGAAAAATGGATGAAGGTCTTTACGCATCTT